CGGGGGAACTTAGTGCTAGCTTACTACAACCATTACGAGGTGCCTACACCTCCAGACGCTCATTCAAGCAAGCTGTATAGAAACTGACAGCAAAAACGCCACTGATATCGGTTTGCAGACATTCTGTGGTGTCTCCAACCAGGCGCAGTTGGGATCACGCGGTCCCCATCCTGGAAGGCGAGTAGCACCGACCCTAGGACCAGCGACATTCGATAATTGGCCCACGCCACTTATAGTTGATGGTAATGTGGCCTATCTGTGTTGGAGGTTGTCTCGCATGCGCGCAGCACCGTGTGGCCAAGCGGCTTCGGTTGTTTCGGAAATTAGCACTGCATGGCGAGATGTCTCAGTCGTCAGAGCGCGAATGTACTGACCGGAAGGTCCGCGGTTCGAACTCGGCCTCTACATCTCGACCTCTCCTGTCTAGGTTTGGACAACCTGCCAGTATCTCAGCCCTCGTGCTTCCTTCGGGTGGCATAGCAGCTAGGCACTGAAAGGGTTTTACAGTTGAAAGATGATTTTTTTACATAGCACTGCACCGAAACAATCTGTGATTAGTCATAACTGCAGGCGTTCGTTGTTGTCCGTGCATCTCGACTGCGCTCCTCCACCCACTTGAGTTTCAGCTGCGTTAAATCTACCCACTTTCCTATTTATATCTCCGAGCTCTTAGCCTGATGCAATAAAGTGTCTTTGGGAGTATCAGATCTACTATGTGTTTGAGCGTAAGCAGGCAACGATTGTGGGTGCGTCACTATGGTACTCTCTCAGGCGTTGCCAAATGGACCACCTAGCGACAACCATCAACGTGCAGCTATTCAAGTCAAAATTATTCAGACCGGTGGCTAAAAACAATATCAAAATCAGCCCCAACGGTTTCTGGATCACCAGAGGTGAGTGGAAGCTTGTGGGAACTCAGTTCAGCGATTATGCCTAAGTCTTGAATCCTCCGTTCAGGGAGTTAACACACATCAATGGAAACTGAGTCCAACATGCACGCAAGAGCAGTCTGTTTTTCGGTTTCTATCAGAGTGGTAAAGTTAAAGGCCGCCAGACGAACTGAGTATCTTGGTTTGAAGAATGATTTCGAATTGTCTGTGGCGGCTAATGGGTGGCTAGCACATCTCTCAGTTCTTAAGGGTGGGTTTAGGAAGATGCTGCTGGCAACAGAATGGGAATAAGAAATGTGTGAAAAAAATTGCTCAGCTGTAGAACCCTTTCGGCACCTAACTGCCGTGCCACCAGGAGGCATGAAGGTTGGGACACTGCTAGGTCACCCAAACCTACACAAAGGATGTTGAGAGGCATAGGTCGGGTTCAAACCGGGAATCTTCCGGTCAGTGAATTCGTACCCTAACCACTAAGCCATCTCGCCTTCATATGTGTGAAATAAGAAGAGGAGCGTCAGCACTAGCCCAATTTCTATTATGAGCCCTGCTTTACTCAGCAATTAAAGCGACTTGATCCATAGCACCACGCGACGGCCAGCATGGTGCGGAATTATTTGTGAAAGAGGAAAAGAGAGTCGTCAGCAGTAGCTTGTTTTCGCTTACCCACCCTGCTGTACACAGCGATGGCCGATGTAGCTTTTTATTATTCTGACGTAGGTATCACGGCACTGAAGCACCGATGTTGAGCACTGATATTCTGTCGATGGTTATGTTGATGATGGGATTATTTGTAAATGTGTAATTCATTGTTGTACGTTGGCCGGGATCCTGCCAGGCCGCCCAGTCCTGGACAGCAGAACGGTAACTGTCATCAACCGAAGCCTTTGGCTCATGGGTTTTATCGCGGGGCGATAGCAGGTGGTTTTAGAACGTCAGAACAGTCTACATCTTTAAGGAGCAAGTCGCCGCACTTTTTTCGATCCAAAACTTGGAGGATTAGATTATTTCGACCAGATCTCTACCTATTGACCAACCTGACGTGATAGGCTCTTTGAATGCAACACACATACTCCCCAGTGTAGCTCAATGGGTTATGGACGTGCGCAAACCGTCACTTTACGGTAGGGTTCAGTTTCTTCTCGAAAGCTGCATCTTACACTAAGCGGTTCACTTCTGTTTCCGAGATAACCGCTGTGACTACTGCGTTTTCTGTTCGTATCGGTGAGACACAACAGCGCGTCAGCCTGCTTCAGGTTTGTGGCAACATCAATTGGGATACCAGCATTCCAGTAAATGAAAACAGTTTCCTATACCGAGAACCCCGGTTTGTGTCTTTGACCGCCGCAGCTGCCGGACCAGCAAGGGGTACGTCGTTTTTTCCGGAGCTCCCTACGTTAACGGAATTTCATATAAAAGTCGTAAGCATTGAAGTTTCATGCTTTGTTACAGGTTGCATCTCCATTGTTCCAACTTTGGTTGAGCGTGCCTTTCTAATCCTTGCACGACCAAATACAACGTGCCAGGCATGATCAACACCGAGAGGATGTGGTAATCAAGACAGGCTTGGTTGTAACCGTTTTTAACCTTCGTTATCAGGCTATTTCCTGGCTGTCATATGTGATTGTTTCCTGATCCTGTGCAAAGCTCGCCCCGAGGCAGACAATGATCTCATATCCAAAATACACTCCTCAACCACATGTGCTTCTTCTGAGGCATGGTTGCGCTTATTAGTCCGCCGACGTCTCAATCTTCAGGCCCGCAAACTTCGTTGCTTATTAGACTCGCTAATACGCCTTGAGTAGTGTTTGAATGTCACGTTTCGCTATGGTAGAGTTTAACGAGCTCGGGATAGCTCAGTGGTTAAGGCGCGAACTTGCTGACCGGGAGGTCCATGATTCAAACCCAACACCGGCATCTTGACTGTCCCTGTCTAGGCCTTGGCAACCGGACAATACGTCAGCGCTGGGGGCGATATGGCTCAGTGGTAAGAGCGCGAATTTACTTACCGGAAGGTCCGTGGTTCGAACCCGACCTCTGCCTCTCAACTTCACCTGTCTAGACTTAAGCAACCTGCCAGTATCTCAGCCCTCGTGCTTCCTTTGGGTGGTATGACAGCTAGGCACTGAAAGGGTGTTGCATCTGAACGATCTAGAATAAAATCTTTTATGTCAAGAGTTTGTCCATTCGTAAGCTCGCTGGCAGACGCCAGTTTATTTTCGGTGAATGTCTAGAAACGATACTTTGTTCAGTTGTAGCAAAGTAAGTCACTGAATCATCGTATACACATGGCCATACACCAAGGCAAATACTCAGTTCGGAAAAACCTGTCTCCTCGTGTAAAAACCATTCCCAGACGAAGGCTAAGTTTTGCGCCTCCGAAATCAATAACAACATCAGCTGTAAAAACCGCGTACTTGCCGTAAAGTAAAGCTGCCAGCATAATTGCCACAGCTTCGCTCGTCGATGATTTGAGGAGGTGGGGTAGATATACACGCACTGAAATCGGTAGCTGATATCATTGATGCGCAAACACAGAGCTGCTAGTGGGTTTTTCTTTGGGGAAATTGGGAGGGGAGTTATACATTGATAGGCAACAACTCGGATGTATTAGAGCCATTGAGGGCGTGACTGGGTCATGTCTGACAATGTTTCTAACCATTGATTTGTTCCGTCTCGGAGCCCCATTCAGAGAGATCGCATTGAAAAACTCAGCTGAGTTTGCTGGTAATGGTTTCCCTACTTCGATTCCTAGTCATTGTTTGACCTTGCTTGGCTCGTTTCCACCCTTCAAGTGCTTGTGAGAAAAGAACACTCCGAGGAATTTGGTCGACTGGCATACGCAGTACGTCGCCAAGCCAGCGCAACCTGTGTAGATTGATCAGTTCCTCTATCGTGGGCGAGTTATTTCTTCCGAAAACTATTCGATAAACTTCAGCATTACTGATCCGATGTTCCCACCATACTTGAGCAATGCTCCAAATACATCGATGGTCAAACACTGAAAGTCTTTTGACGTTCTTGGCGCGCAGCGGCGAGGTTTCTGATCCATATAGTGATGTATGGCGCACCGCAGCGTTGTAAACTCGGCCCTTGTCGGTTAAGCTGATGTCACACCTACGCCGTATGTGACGCAAGTCGTATGCGTACGCGATATCCGTAGGGGCATCTTAACTTCACAGGTCGCCGCACCAATGTAGCAGCTTTATGTTGGGCGTCTCCGATATATATATATATATATTCCACCCACGAATGACCTCAAGTACTGGAAAAATTTCCACACATCGGATGACACTGAAATCTTCGTTTCCGTGCAGATGTCCCCAGCAGACCATGAATACTTTAATCCACTCATACACGCAGTCCCTTTCGTGCAGGCGTATCAGTCTGAGTTCCATTTCAAACTGCTAGAGTCGCTCCGAATTAACATTTTCCTATGACTACCCACCTAGGGAATAACCAACTATTGACTATCGCTCGATGATAGCTTTCAGTGAGATTCGCTCAACCCACAGCAAACATTGTTGCGATCAGTGGTCATTATTTTTGTTAAAACAACCACCCCATCGTTAATAAAACTTAATAAATGTTGTGTGATCAGTCTCCTTATTCGACGATCTTTGTATTTTATTTATGTAAATTTCAGGAGCAAATTCATCGAGCGCTTGCGAATTCTGGCGACTGGAAGTGGTGATTCATCCGATGACGTCACACCGAAAAAAGAGCATGATAAAACTGGTAGCAGTGGTCGTGCACAACGCCGCGAGATGTTACGTAACATTCCTAACACGTGCAATGCCTACGTGTGTCCTGACTCCCCACCGGTAATTCACCGATCTGCTGGTGTTCCCGTCAATCATACTGGTGCGAAGAATGGAGGTTCCATATCAAAAGAACGGACATTCAGTCCAAGGGGCCTGGATGCGGCACTAGCGAGCGTGACATTAAACGACCCCAACATTACACCAGGACAGAAAATACGCAAACATGCTCACAATGAAACACCATTGAAGCGTCGGAGCTATTCTAGTAAGTTCCTGTCTTCCACATTCCCAGGTGACCAACCAAAGCACGCGAAGACCACCTCAAAACCAACCAATCAATAGATAGATAGAGTCAATAGATATTTTTAGAAACTTTATGAGCATAGGCAGAAGAGAAGGAATTTAGCTACTCAATCTCGCCTCGATTGGTGATGAAACGTTTGCAATTCAACTGCCAGGCTCGGTGAACAGGCCAACAGCTAAACGGCGTCGAAACGCAAAAAGCTGTCAAAGCCAATAAGGTGCCGTGTACGCTTCAGAAAAATGGATCTGAGTGATATGGTTGTGAAGTGGAGTCTGATTTTCGTCGGGAAAGAAGAAAGGTATGAGATTCCCTCTCTTCCGAAATGTCAGCCCCTTGGACCTTGATCCAACGTTGATGCAATTCAGATGACTCGCCCCCTTCCTTTAACGTTCACTTTTAAGGATCGGAAACCCAAATCTCTCTCTGACTTTTGCGCTCAGAAAGACTGTCGGAGTACCGTGAGACCGGTTCCATCATCATCATCATCATATCATCATCATCATCATCATCATCATCATCATCATCATCATCATCATCATCATCATCATCATCATCATCATCATCATCATTATCATCATCATCATCATCATCATCATCATCA